GATGAAGATTGAATGAAATATTATTTGAGATATGAATTATTTCGAGATATAAAGTTTCATTCAAATGAGGTAAATTATAAATATCAATTAAATAAATTGAAAAATAGATTTTCAAATACGTTTTTAATTTTGCTCCATGTTCTTTTAAATTTAAAATATATGTAGCACTACTTGAGAAAAAATTTAAAAAATTTATCCAAATATAAAATTCCAAATGACATAAAAAAATATTAATTGTCACAATTAACACAGTTAAATAGAGTTTTTCAATTTGTAAACTTATTTTTAATTTCGCCCCATTTATTTCTAGATTTGAAACAGCTTTGGTCCACACTTAATGATTATAGACTATACAAGTGTTGCATATGTATACATTTCACTGGTACAATCGTTCAGGCTTGTTTCTATTCAAACTTCACCATGTTATTCTGATTGTTTTCCTTCACAATTCCTATCTATTTTGCAGTCTCTCTTATATACTATACATTCAACTTCACCGTATCTCCCTTGAGAAATTATAGAAAGAAGATACAAGTGAAAACTGTCCAATAAGTGAAGTGTATACAATGAATTTTTAAAAGAATCGATTATCCATATATTCTATGAAGTTGTTCATCGTTAATCATCAATGCCTATCAACAATAATTATGGAAGTTTGTTCCATATTAATTCATAGAAATCTTCGAATCAAGGATATTTTATTTGTTGCCAAGCAACAAGATGATCAAATCATTCTCCTGGATTCTTCAGGATCATCTTATCAACTTATTTAAATTCTTATCTTTAATAATTGAATTAAAAAATTGTATCTAACATTCTTGTTCATTTTTTAGAATATGAAATATTATTATATAATTTTATATAATTATATATAATTTTTTGAAATATTTGAATAATTGAATTAAAAAATTCTTACATTCTTGTTCATTTTTTACAGTATTTTAAAATATTTGAATATTTGAATTAAAAAATTGTATCTAACATTCTTGTTCATTTTTTAGAGTATCTTAAAATATTTGAATAATTGAATTAAAAAATTGTATCTTACATTCTTGTTCATTTTTTACAGTATTTTAAAATATTTGAATAATTGAATTAAAAAATTGTATCTAACAATCTTGTTCATTTTTTAGAGTATCTTGAAATATTTAAATAATTGAATTAAAAAATTGTATCTTACATTCTTGTTTATTTTTTAGAGTATTTTGAAATATTTGAATAATTGAATTAAAAAATTCTTACATTCTTGTTCATTTTTTAGAGTATCTTGAAATATTTGAATAATTGAATTAAAAAATTGTATTTAACATTCTTATTCATTTTTTAGAGTATCTTGAAATATTTGAATAATTGAATTAAAAAATTGTATCTAACATTCTTGTTCATTTTTGTATCTTGAAATATTTGAAGTTGCAAGTATTTTTTTCTTAAGAGATTTGCAAATTCTTTTTAGAATTTGATATCAAGTATCTTCTTCACTTTCAAAATATTTCAAAAGTTTCATATCTTTCACTTTCAACTAAACTAAATTTAGAAAATCCATGAATAGATACTTTGGAAGGAACTATCGAATATTTTTGCTCGAGATTAACGATTATTTAAATTAAAAATCTTCTATAATGGAACTCAAAACTTGATTTTTTTTCTTTCTCAGGAAATAAAGATCGAAACTTCTTTCTGTTTACGATTTCTTAAGAATTTTGATCGATATGTTTAAAAAGATGTTGGTCGTTGAAGAAGGCAGAAGCCTTCTGGATTGAGATAGCAACGACAGACAGCTATTAAGGTCAACAACGGATTTCAGGAAAAATCGATAGACCGGATAGAACGACCCTCGATGGATATCGGCCTGTTTAGAATCAAGGGTGCATACAAGGATCGAGTGGTGCCTTTTTTTAATTCCTTTCGTCATTTTCCCTTAAGGTTGCCATGCTACCTTAGCAAATAATAAGGTGGAAACAGTGTTAAAAGTCTATTATTGGAAAATCATTGTTTAAGATTCCTCATTTTATTCCAATATTTTTGTTAATACTTTTTTTCATTTTTTAAAATATCTTAAGATTATTTGTTTCTTTTTTTTTAAATTTTGTATTTAATATTTTCTTCATTTTTTAAAAGTACCTTGAAATATTTGAAACTTCAAGTATTTCTTTGCAATGCTTTTATTACAATTTACTATTTTTTTTATTTTTTAAGATACGTATTTTGAAATATTTAAAGTTTCAAGTTTTTCTTTAGAATTTGATATCTAGCATTTTCTTCTAGTATAATTTTGTTCTTTTGTAACATTATAATTATTATATTTATTCAATTTTGTATTATTTTATATTATCCATGTTTTTTTCCAATGAAGAATTATTTATTTGAAATTGTATTAACAATTCAGAAGAATTATTTATTATTATTAGAATAAAGTACAAATATATTTGAGAGTTAGAAATATCTTCTTAAAAACTATTTTTGAAAATATTTTTTAACAAATGGAAATTGAGAGTAATTT